ACATAACGATGTATACGCATTGCTTATGAAATGAAAATTTTGTAAAAAAAAAAAAAAAAAATTTCATTATATCACAGTCTAAAATAGAAATATATAACATCTACTAAAATAATTTTTTTTTTTTTTTAAATTTTTATTTCAACCTTTAATTTATTTTTAAATCTTTGAATAATTTTATTTAAAAAAATAATTAAAATAAGTTTTTTTTTTTTTTTTTCAAATACCAGCAGTTTAATTTTAAAAGTCATAATTTTATAAATGATTTACTTTTTAAATAAATTTAATTTATAAAAATTAAAAATTGTAACTAATAACCAACACTTAACCTAGTCCAAACATATCCGCTTTGAAATTTGTCAGATTGTTGAAATACATGAGGATAAGGCGAGTTTCTCGATTTGAAATAATCAGATGGTGCATGCATAACAAATTTTAAACATTCTAATTTTCTTGGTAAATCTTCATCAGGTCCTATAAGAGAAAATAAATAAAAAAGGTAGGAAAACGAAAAATTGTTTTAAAAACATTTTTAAGGAACGATTATAAACGTAACGATATCATATAATAATTTTTAAAAAAAGGCTTTGACCTTTATTAGTTTTTTTTTAATTTAAGCAGGAATGGTAAAAAATTTTATAAGTACCTAAAATATATGATGATGGATCAAAATTTAACGAATCTGTGTTTTTTGTCGGCACTAACCAAGATATAACAGCACTTTTTTCACCATAGGCATCAGTCAATAATCCTAAAAAAATTTATCAAAATAACAAAATTAAATAAAAAATTAAATTAAATTAAATAAGATGCAAATTAAACACTGTAAAGAACCTCTGATTTGAGCATAAAATATTCCTCCACTGATATCTTCAACTTGAACTACATCTCCAACATGAATATAGCTTCCTTTATAAAATATATGGTTACTAGTTACAGTTGTCGCTACAGCTGATGGTGCTTTCATAGGCTAAAATTTTTTTTTTTTTTTTACAATAAATCATGTAAATAATTTTATATAATAAAAATAAAACTTGAATAAATTTCTTACTGTTTTTTTAAAGATATTTCTTCGACCCTTTCCTTTTGGCGCAAGTGGTTTAGGTAACGCATATGGATTAAGTCTAGTTTTATAATTTCTAGTCATTCTGGTACTTTTCCTGAGCATAATTTTTGAAGAAGTGGAAAATTCTAAGTTTTGATTTTTATTCGCGGAATTTTCTTCCTTTTGTTGAGATAAAACTAATTGCTTTTCTTCCTCTTTATGCTTTAAACTACATTCATTACAAATAAATCCAAGCTCCGTATTTCTCCACATAGCTGACTCCGTCCTTTGACACTGAATACATTCTGGCTTGACACCAAAAGGCATTTTAAAAATAATTTTTTTATTAGAATTTCAATATTTATTAATAACTTATAGCTTCGCTTATTTAAAATGTAGTGTCTTTAAGAACAAAACTATTTACACGATTTTACCCGTTAAAATTTCATAGAGTAAATTTTTCGTGGAATTAACATATGTGTTTCATATTTTCACCGCTACGAATAAAATAACGCTAGTGTTCTCGAGCGAAACTAAGTTCGGTAAATACAAAATGGCTTTTCAACGTCGAGGTTCTAGTTGTTTACAGTTTCAAATAAATAATTATTCGTTTTGAATCGGTACAATTAATATTATTAGTGTTTAAAAATGTGCGAATATTATGTGTTAGAGTGTTTTTAAAAATGATAACTAATTTAGTAAGGATATTTTTATATAAAAAATGGTTAATTTTGATTTTGTGTACCGCCCTTGGAAATATTTGTGTCCATGGTGAGTACAAACAACTATTTTTTTAAGTTCATTGATATAACGTTTTTTATATAAAAATATTTATCATTTTTCTACATAAATTTTTATTCTCTGCACCTGTCATACTTTAAAATTTGTATTTGTAAATTGCATTTGATATTTATCAAATTGTAAATTTTGAATTTTATTCTAATGAAACTGAGGGTTTATTCTTAAAGTAATACTATAATGATTGTTCAAAAATCCTGTTTTGTTACTATTAAAACTTAATTTGTAAATAAATAATTTATCAGTAAGTAGGACTCATGACATTTTTATTTAAATTTTTTAAATTTTATTAATTTAAAATACTGATAGTCAGTGATTAATGCAATGACAGACAGTGAATATTTAACATAACAAATTAATTTGTTGATGTGATTTTTTTTTTTCTGGCTTGTAAACAAATTAAATTATTTTTTTTTTTATGTAGTTTTTTTTAATGAATCTTTATTTATTACAAAAAAATGATAACTTGACATAAATTTTTTAATTACATGCAATTAAAAAAATCTGACATATAAAAACACATGTAAAAGCATAATGTTATTTTTTTGAAAAACAAATAAATAAGTGCAGGATCGAGTAAATTTTATTATTAAAAAAATATATTAATAAATTAGAATCTAATAAACACTTATTATAATTGTGTTTAACTTTTAAAAACTTGCCTTTAGTTAGAAATCAATTTATATATTCATATGATATTCTTAAATTGATTAAGTTAACATGGTGTTGCCTAAAGTTATTTTTTTACATGTAAATTATTAAATTTTTTTTTTTTTTTTTCATTCTTGAACATTTTTTTTTCAAGCATGCTTACTTAACCACTTGATAAATTTTAAGTAATAATTTTTTATTTAAGAAGTTTTTTTAACTCGACAACAAAAAACATTAAACGACGACAATAAAAAAATTCATTAATTGAATGAAAGGAATAGAAAAAATTTGTAATTAATAGGTTAAAAAAAAAAAAAAAAAAATTTTTTATTACACCAATTTAACTTATTTCTTACAATTTTATTTTAACTCTTAAATATTCTTATAATTTTTAAATTACAGTTATTATTAACTAGCATGTTAATTATAATTTCCTTAATCGTAATAGCTTTTCAATTAATTACACTCATGGTTATTTTTTTTTCGATTCCACAATTCGTTATTAAAAAAAATATTAAACATATCATATGATTGCTCATTAAAACCATGTTTTGAATTTTTGTCCTAAAAAAAAGGTTTTTAAAGTTTTATAAAATGTACTATCTGGGAAATTGGGGGGTGGGGGGGGTTTTCCAAGCAGGTAAATATTTTTCAATAATATTATCTCGAGAAATTAACAGAGAGAAAGAAAAATGAAAACATATTCGAATAACTTTTTTATTACTTTTATTTTGCATTGTACAAAAAATTATAGTATAAGTTTACAATTTTATATGTTGTTTAGTTTTTATTATAAATTGAATATTGCTGTTTCATTATGTTTGTTGTGCTGTTTTGTTTTTTGTTTTATGAAAAAGTGTGTTTCATCATTCGCAACATTCGATAAAACTTTAAAATTGTTGTCAGATATGTTTTTCATATGAGAATATTAATATTATTTTATTCTTTGCAAACATTTGTTTTTTCTCTCTCTCTCTCTCTCTCTTTCTTATAGAAAAGTTTGATAGTTGATACCATAAAAGGAAGTTTTATTCGCACTGACGCATTATTTATTTTATTTATTTATTTATTTATTTTCTAGAAAATTTAAACGACCACGTTTTACTTTCTTTTTTTTTTTTTTTAACTTTTTATAAACTTCTTATAAACTTTTTATAAACTTTTTGATAAAAAAAAAAGAAAAGAAAATTTAACATTAAAAAATTGTTGTGATCTCATAAATAATTCTTTCCTCCCATTTAAAAAAAATTTTTTTTTTTTGTTATAAAATTATTTTAAAAAATTTGATTTAAAGGTAGTTTATAAACGTTTCAATTTAATCGTGAGTAGAAAAAATAATATAATCGATGATAGATTTATTAAAAAAAAAAAAAAACTTAAAAAAAGAAATGATGATAAATAAATAATTATGAAAAAGTTGTAATTAATTTTCATACAACGTAACGTTTTAACGTAACACATGAGTGTCCAGTTTTATTGAAATATACCGTGAAAGAATACCGGGTTTTTTTTTTTTTTTTTTTTTCTTACTTTTTCGTGGGTTGTAGTAGATGAGTAGAAGAGTAACAACGAAGAACAAAGAAAAGTAGTAATCTCTCACCACTTTTATGCCCTACGGCAAGGACTTATTAGTTTGCAATGTAACCGAATGAACTCAACCTGGCTCTCTCTCTCTCTCTCTCCTCTAAGTTCATCAACTTGAAATTTCTTCACGGTTCTTCCTCTCTACCAACAAAACAACATTCGTGTATCTTATTTCTTATACGTTTTTTTTTTTAATGCCAGGTCAACACGAAAATGACAGTTTTTATTATTATTATTATCGTTATTTTTGAAAAAGAAAAAAAAAAAAAAAACTTATTTTAACGTTAGGTTTCGTAGATGGAAAGTAGAAATTTCATTTTTTCAATCGAATTTTTATTGCACGTCTTTTTTTTTTTTTTTTTTCTCAATTATAGTTTTTTTTTTTTTTATTAAATGGGGACTTCCCCCTTTTTTTGTGTGTGTATGTGTTCCGTCAATGGGTTTTTTATTTTTTTAAATTAATAAAAAAAATTACATTAAGTTAATGCTATTAATTAATTAGATTTAATTAAAGGATGTTCATGATTTTTTTTTTATTTTATTTTATTGCTACCGAAGATCACAACAATTTTTTTCCTTTTTATTTTTATTTTATTAAATTTTATTTTATAAAAACGGTTAATAAATAAATAAATAAATAAAATTGCTTGATTGTGAGTGAAATTGTTAAAATGGAGGATTTAGTTCAGTAAAAAAAATTGGAAATTTCTTTTTTATATTGCTTATTGTTTAAAATCATTTTTGTGATTAGTCGCGGAGTTTTATTTTACGTTGCCATTATTATTATTATTATTATTATTATTATTATTATTATTATTATTATTATTAATTTGCGATTGTCGTTCATATACTTAGTTAACTTTCTCCACTCGTTTTTCCACCTTTTTTTTTTTTTTTTTTTTTTTTTTTATCCCCCACTCGATCAGAAAATTCACACCACACACACACACACATATCGATTATGTTTTCATTTTTTATTTTTTAATAAACATGCGGTAACTCGTGTCATTAAATTTGTGTCGCATAAAAAAAAAAAAAAAATTTGACGTAAAACTGTGTCGTTGTTGTTTGTCGTTGTCGTTATTTTGTATTTTATGTCTTTTCAGTTAAATGATTTTTTTTTCACGTGCGTAAATTACAATAGGAAAATTGACTTTAGTTTTTTTTAGCTATTTAAATTGTTTATTAAAATTTATCATCTTTTTTGACGTCGACACATAGTTTCTCTCTCTCTCTCTCTCTCTCGTTTGCATCAATGTCGTGATTTAATATAGATTTTCTTTTTTTTTTTTTCCTCTTTAAAAATATATATATATGTATATATATTTTACGGGATTTAAGCGTTGCCATATTAAAAAAAAAAAAAATCTCGTTTTGTATATATTTTAGGGAATTTTTTTTTTTTTTTGTGTGTGGAGGCATAACGAATGAATTTGATCGAGTCTTACGAGAAAGAAAAAAAAATGAAAAAAAAGTTTTTTTTTTTTTGAAAGTAGTCGGAATTTTATATAACTATAAAAATTGCTTCGGGCTCCCTTTTTTTTTATATTTTTATATTTTAATTTTTTAAAAAATTTTTTTCCACTTCAAAAGTCATTTAATATTTAAAAAAATTAAAAAAAAAAAAAAAAAGTTTTCAAATGCACAATCGGACATGAACGGGTAATTAATAAGTTCCGTCATTTAAATTTACATTTGGGAGAGTAAAAAAAAAAATTTTTTTAATTCAAACAAAGCTCGAAAAGTTTTTTCTCTCTCTCTCTCTTTTCTTCTTCCACTCTTTAAAAAATAAACATAACGACAGGATTTTTATGTATGAATTAAATTATTATTATTATTATTATTAATGTTGAGAGTTTGCCTGTCTGGATCGTGACAGTATTATTATTAATATTATTTTTTAATTTAATTTTTTTTGTTTAGTTTGCCATTCGTTAATTTTAATTAAAATTAAATTACGAAATTTTTTGTTTTCTGTTGTGTGTAAAAAAAAAAAAAAAATTGAAATGACCGGGTTTAAATAAAACCGGAAATCGGTTGTCGAAGAGAGAGAGAGGAAAAAAAAAGAGTAAGGAATAGTTTTTGGAAAAAAAAAAAAAAGCTGAACAAAGTTTTTATTATTTTTTTTTGCTCTCTCTTTCTCTCTCTCTCTCTCTTCCTCTCTCTCTGTTTCTCTCTCTCTCTCTCTCTTTCGAAAGAAAAAGACCAGATTGTGAATGTTTGAGTCATTTAATGGATCACATTTGTTTTCCCTTCGGTTGATCTTAAGAGGAGGGTTAACATTTATTCTTGTG